CAGAAGGACTTTTTGGAGACCGAGTTTGGAGCTCTTGAGCATCTCGTTGGAGATAAGATCACATGAAACGCTTTTGTTATTCTGGAGCTTATTGGTGACTTTCTCCAGTTCTTGGATAGTAAACTCTGTGTTGAGTTTTTCAAGTTCGACTGATGGCTCGAGGTGGTACTCGGTTCCCTGTTCACCAGCTTCGTTGGTCGAAGTGTTCGTTTGTAGTCCACCGTGCGAGGGGTCCTTGCACTTCTGATTGTATAGGTCGTTGAAGAACTTGTGAAATGCGATCAGGTCATACATGTCGAATGTATCGGGGTCCTTGCAAGCGGACGAGAGGTCTTTTAAAGCAGCCCAGTTGATGTTGTTGCTGAGGTTGATTTTCTCGTTAAGTTTGTATAGGTAAGCTCCCTTTCTAGCTCGTGTTTGTGCCCTGTATTCTTTCTTACGGAGGTAAAATCTTGCTCGGTTGGATTCCACGAACATAGGATCGATGTGGGTGTTATTCTTGGCTCTTTCGTCTCTACAGACTAATCGTTTAGCATGCCTACAACTCCAATCAAACCATTTGTTTTTGTTAGTACTGGGCTTTCCACTTTTCTGGGTGGTAACTTGACTTGCCAGGTTAGTAAAGGTGGCAATCACAATTTTATTGAAACTGCGAATGTCGTCAGGGGAGGAAATATCAGTTTGAAGAAGAGAATCAACTTTTTCTTTGAATTGAGCGGTGTTCTGGGCTGACTTGAATTTTTCTGTGGTACCAAGTCCAGAGCAGGCATCTTTGGTCCACTTGAATGGCTTCGGGATCGATGCGAATTTGAGCTCCATTTCGTTCGAGATGTCGCCAGCCATCACAATGTTCCTTATGTTAGTGGTTAAAGTGGTGGATATTGGTCTGTGGTCAGAATAAGGGGTGAGGTCACCAACTTTGAAGAACCTTGCCCGATGAAGGAGGCTGTGGGACACGCAAATGTAGTCGACCGTACTTACTCCATTTCTTTGAATGCAAGTTGGACTGCCAAATATGTCCCCAATTGTCCTTCCGTTTAGGATTATCATTCCAGTTGTCTGAAGTAGCTCAATGAAGGGTTTGCCGTTGGAGTTGAGAATCCGATCTTGGTTGTTTCTAGAGGCTACCTCAGTAGGAGATATAGAATGCTGGGGAGGATCGAGTTCAACTTGAAGGTCCCTAGACTCGCATGGTATAAGGAAGTCGTTCAATGTGCCGGTCCGCGCGTTCATGTCACCAAGTATGGCAGCATCTTCGGAGTCGGGGATATTTGATAGACACTCTTCTAAGTGCTCACAAGTGGTTGTATATTGTTCCATTTTGGAACGCATTCGTTTCTTGTATGAGCCATGAGCTGGCGAGTCGTACACATTGATAAGATTCAGATCTTTGTCAAGGTTGAAGTATTTGGCTTTAAGCTTTACGATGAGTATGTCGTCGCATTTGGAAAAATGAACTCTGACTACTCCTGCAGCCAAGTGCTTCCGGATCGCTGTGCACACGCCACCTGAGTTGCTATCCGATCTGTTGGCGTTGAAGCATTTGAATTCCCGCATAGAAACCTGTCCTTTAGTTTCTTGTAGGCAGACGATATCGTGGCCAGCTATGAGCTTCTGGACCTCGTCAATTTCGAATTTGACACCCTCAAATTTGTCACGCTGGTGGTTGATGTTCCAGCTCATGAGTTTGAGTGAGTGTCTCATCTTAGGGGGGCTATTCATCTCTAAACCTGTTCGTGCTGCGTCTGGATCTGTCCTTTGGTTGGTAGCTTACTCGAGGTAAGCGCATTGTTTTCCTCATTCCTTCACGGAGGCGCACCCACAGCATTTTTTGACCTCGTTCTCTCAGCTTGAACCCTTCGTTACTTGTGTACAAGTTTTGGTCACCGATGCTGTTATTTTGGAATGTAAAGATCCTATCTTTTGCAACCGGCTTGTGTTTGTGGAGCCAGCTCACATAGTCTTCAACATCTTTGTTGACTATGCTGATTCTCTCATTGAGGGCTTTATCGTTGCTCGATGGAATCAGTCCTGAGAAGCATATTTGGGCTTTGGTTGTGTTCATCAGGTGCTCGGAGAACTCCTCAACGATACTCACGAGACCAGATTTCTTTTTGAGAAGGTCATTTATCCCCGTGTGAACATATATGCATTCGGGCTTGAGTCGTTTGATGGTGCTGTTCAATAGCTTTGTTTTTTTAGTCGTATCCTCATAGCTGTCAAACCTGAGGCAGTGTACATTGAATTGACTATTGAACAGCTTAGGGTTGAAGTGATCAAAGTTACTATCGTGGATCAGAAGAACAGTGTGCTGTCTGTAACTTTCCCTTATTCGCCTGGAAGATTTGTTTCTACTCTCCTTGGCTTCACGACTCGGTTGATTAGGTTGTGCCTCGGATGCGGTGGTCTCTGAATGTTTTGACTCACTGCGGTTGTCCTGTCTGGTTGCTGGTACAGGTACATTCTCTTTGTGGTTTTTGCTGTTCTTCTTGTTCGATGTAGTGAACGTCTCGGAGCCTCCATTCTCAACGATCTTGGACCACAGGATACCCTGTTCGCTTTCCCTGTTCGTATCATCGACAGAGGCCGGTGTGTCACGCTGGGCGGGCTTGTGGTTCGCCGGAGGCTGTGGTGAACTGGTGAGGGCCTGCGTCAGACTCTCATGGTTTACTTCAAGTGCCTCGATTCGGGTCCTATTTGAGGAACTTACAGTTTCAAATGACTGAAAGGCTAGATTGAGCTCACCCTTTAGCTCTTCAGCTGTGGCTTGTGACTGGTTCTTAGCAGTGTTTGCCACACTCTTGACTGCTTTCTTCAGATTGTCTTGGCCTAGCTCAAGTGTTTCGAACTGCCTTCTATTAGCGATATTCGTTGCTTCCAACTTGTTGAAGCAGTTAGCAAGCTCAGCTCTTAAGTCTGGAGAGGACTGAGTCCGCGTGTTGGCCACTTGGTTCAGAGTATTGTTCTGTTCATCTACTGCCTCTCTAAGTAGGTTGAGGTCAGCTCTTAGTTGGTTCACTTTGTCTTCAATCGGACTGAGCTTTTTCGCGACTAAGACTTCCAGCTTTTTGTCTGAGGCAGTAGGTGACGAGATGATCAGGTCAGAGATTGCCTTTTGTTGCAGTATCTCTTCTTTAAGCGTAATAATACTGTCTTGTAGCACTGTCACCGCCGCCTTTAACTCAGAGCATTGACTGCATTCGGTACTTATTAGGTGACCCTTGAGGGGCATATCGCCCGCAGTTTCCATGTCGTCGTTAATTTCAGTGGTTGGCCCGTTAGCGGATAATAGGCTCCCGGTATCAGGTGCGACTAAAGAATTCTGATGAGGACCAAGGGGGACGCGAGGGGAGGTGTTGTTGCTACCCTTTTTTTCCTTTTTCTTTCTGTGCGACTTTCCCTTTTTTTTCTTCTTCGCACTTCTAGTGCAAGATTGATCCTTGGGGGTACCAAATTGAAATTTGGTATCAGTGTTACCAGACAGAGGTCCATCAGGGGTTACGTAGTCGCCCGAATTGTGTGGGCTCGGTTGGTCACGGAGAGACGGTGTGTTGTGCAACTGTAAGATGTTGCGGGTTGAATTACTCTGATCATCCTCACCTGGATTTTCGAAAACTAGTCTAATCGCGTTACTGTTGCCACTACACTGATTACTACAAAACGAGATCAGAGCCTTTTTTCTTTCTTGGGCTGAAAGGCTCAAGGGAAGATAATTGGCAAGGAGTTCCATTCTGATCACTGTTTCTTCGAGTTTATTGATGAGATGAGTGAGTAATTTCACCGTGTTCTTGCTTCCTGTAGACTCACAAGTTTCGAGTAGGTCACAGAGTTTCTTTTTGTTGAGAGAGACATTGTTGCTACCCTTGAGTCCGAGAGATGTCATCAAAGTGGACAGTGAAGACTTCTTGTTAGAATTGGCTGCTCTCTTCAGGAGATCAAGGGTGATGTATTTCAGAGTGATTGAGGAGCCCTTGTCGAGACTGGGATCAGTGTGGTCCACTTCTTCATCGGCGAAGGACTCATTGTGGCTGGTGTCGTCCGGGGTTGCTTTAGTTGTCTGTTTCTGCGTATCTTCGCTTTTCTGACTGCAGCTTGATATTCTTAGGGGCAGTGATTCGGCAGCAGTATTGTCTATCTCGTGTAGCGGAATCACCGGTTGGTCGAGTTGCACATCCAACGGCTTCATATCTGGCGATTCAGATAGCGGTGACTTGAGCTTGGTGGTGCTAGGCTCGGCAGTGGTGACTTCCTTCGTAGCAAGGTAGTCCTCCTCTATCCCCAGGGAGTGGTAAGTAAGTGTAGGTTCAAATAGTATCGAGGACTTTAAACCTTTAATCAAGAGATCGTTTTAAAATGAGGTCTGTGTCAGCCTTTCGGGGGAAATTTTCATCGACTTATGACCAATAACCTGATATAATAGACAAAAAGGCTTTCAACAGAGAACTCGAGAAATAAACAAATAGTACAGAAAAAGTTTCAAAAATATAAACTGAATATTCACGTTTAGACTTGGCAGCCATCTGACAGCTTTTCAAACCTAACAGTTACCTCCTCAACTCCCAGTCTAGGTTCCCCAGTATAACTTCGCGATAGGAATCCTGATATACTCAGTACTTTAAGTTTATATTAGGTATCTATCTTATAGTGATAATGACCACAGCCCCCTACGAAGAAGAATAAGACTCCTCCAGATCCAGTCTTTACCTTAAATTGTTCAGGACCATTAGCTGAAGTAGCTCTGATACGTCAGATTAGAACCTGTAAAACTGGCCTCCACAAGAATGTGTAATCGTATGATCATGAAAAAGAAAACTTGTGATCTTGCGAATCTCATTTACAAAGATTATAAAATAAATTTATACATTTACAAATCGTTGATCAAATTTAAGTTTAACAGTAAAAAGTATAGAACATCCTGCTGTAATATATGACCTTCCCATTGCACTGCTTTCTAATAAAATCATGCAACTAAATTGTTTGAGAACTATAGAGTATAAACATTGAACAATAAGTATATCGAGCATTAAAATTGAACAATCTTGCTTTCACAATAGCAAATTTGAGATGCCTCGCCTATAAATTTAGGAAAGCGAAAAGGCGATGATTTCCAATACCTAAACAGCTCGCCAGTTCTTCCAAAAACATTTGTGGCATTGTATCTTACTAAATTGTATTACCAAATATTGAATGGAATTCTACTAAAAACTTGAAAGTTAAACCTAAGTATTACAACAATAATGAATGTCCACAATCCCCGTAATAGCTTTTGTGAAAAAGTCTAGCAGTAGTTGCCTCTCCTAACATAACCCACAATAGTACACCGTTTCAAATTCACTGCTTGATAACTGATCCCACCCCAACTGACAAATCAAAAGGTGCACAATCACGACAGGTAACGTTGAAAATTCTTAAAAATATTATTCTATCTACTGATAAAAACTTGGTAATGATAATCAAGTCGGTATTTTGAGATCGCTTTGAGTATTTCTCTTGAACATTGAACTGTTTTTGAGCGAATTTGCTAGGTCCATCTGCACCATCTGAAAATAATGAGCAAATTTTATATAACAGACTGAGATAAAATTTCAAAACGTTTATGACCATAATCATTTTGACAGTAATACTAAACATGACTACTCAGTAGTAGGAAGGTAGGAAGCTGGAAGGTGGTAGGAAATACAGCACTGGTATCAAAACAATATCTACAAAAGATAACTCTCCTAACCTTAGGTTTGTTATCCCTACAAAAAAATAACTCTCCTAACCTTAGGTTTGTTACCTCTACAAAAGATAACTCTCCTAACCTTAGGTTTGTTACCTCTACAAAAGATAACTCATCTAACCTTAGGTTTGTTATATCTACAAAAGATAAATCTCCTAACCTTAGGTTTGTTATATCTACAAAAGATAAATCTCCTAACCTTAGGTTTGTTATATCTACAAAAGATAACTCATCTAACCTTAGGTTTGTTACCTCTACAAAAGATAACTCTCCTAACCTTAGGTTTGTTATCTCTACAAAAGATAACTCTCCTAACCTTAGGTTTGTTATCTCTACAAAAGATAACTCTCCTAACCTTAGGTTTGTTATCTCTACAAAAAATAACTCTTGTAACCTTAGGTTTGTTATCTCTTCAAAAGATAACTCTCCTAACCTTAGGTTTGTTATCTCTACAAAAAAAATAACTCTCCTAACCTTAGGTTTGTTACCTCTACAAAAGATAACTCTCCTAACCTTAGGTTTGTTACCTCTACAAAAAAAAATAACTCTCCAAACCTTAGGTTTGTTACCTCTACAAAAAAATAACTCTCCTAACCTTAGGTTTGTTATCCCTACAAAAAATAACTCTCCTAACCTTAGGTTTGTTACCTCTACAAAAAATAACTCTCCTAACCTTAGGTTTGTTACCTCTACAAAACGTAACTCTTCTAACCTTAGGTTTATTGGCGGAGGGTGTGGTAACTTTAGGTTTGGGCTTCAAATGAGCTATACATTGTGGCAGAGGATGAGTACACCTCTTTATACTGTCCACTAAGGACGTCTGGAACTCTGATAACATCTTCATGAACTCCTCACTGTCCGTGTTGGGGCTCTCTCCAAAACGTTCTAGAACTTTACTGTAGTCTGATTTCATTTGGGAGCTCTGCTCGTTCAGCAGGAATACGTTTTGCTGAAGTAAAGAGGGGTCAGTTTTAGTGCTGACATTGTGAAACAAAGTTGAATTGTTTGTTATCTTCGACACCATGATGGGTAATAATAACCAATCTATATTCTCAAATAATCTACCTGGAAGAATTTGACGAAGGAGCGGACGTCATCCACGAATAACTCCAGCTCCTTGTGCGCGTGATTATCAGGGGGACATTTCTGTGAAATATCGTTAGCCCGTCCTGATAGTTTGTTCATGTCTTGTTTCATGATGTCCACCTCCGCCGTCAACGCCACTATCGAAGAGGCTGCACGATTTGTAGGTTAACGAAGAGGTTAAAAAGTTTAAAACCTGGGTTTTTAGTGGTTTCAAACAATAATAAATAAGTATCAATAAGAATTGCAGACCCTTTCTATTGAATATTTGACTTACACTGGCTAGCACTATGAACAATCTCCAAGTCATTTACGAACTTGAGACAATCACCATCCAGGAGAACACACTGTTGTACAATAAAGTCCAACAGAGATACCGCCTTATCCTGGCTCTTGATGGTCGATAGCTTGGGCAGCGTCGAGCTCAACTTGAAACCGGGCGCTGAGAAGTTTGGAGTTAGATCTGATTTTCGGGAGTAGGTTATCGGAACTATTTTCACACTGAAAGAAGAACTGGGGGACATAAAATACTCGGGATAAAATGACAAGGAATGTAGAACTTTAACATCCCAGCGATGGCATTACTTATACTCACAAGTCTTTTTTATGGCAGCGTTCATCATGTTCCCGATGGCAAGGATCTTTTCCAAAAACCGCAGGAATGAGTTACTGTTAAGAAGAACTCGACAAACTTCGAGAATGTTGTCAACCATCCGTTTGATGTCCTATAAGGGACGTGGGAACGGGGTTAAGTTCGATTTTTAAAGTACTTAACTTAGACCAAATTGACTGATCAGGTAGGTTACTATTCAAGGTTATCGCGGGTCAAGTTAACTTTTGCAAGCTTCAAAATTAGCGCTTATTTTAATCCGATTATATTTAACCGTAACTCATAGTCATAATTAACTTGTTACACCTTTTCCATGTCTAGAATTCGATTTCAGCTCAATTTCATATTTTGTTGAATACAACCAGCTTACCTCAATATCATCTGGAATGGAGACGGTGACTTCAATTATGTTGAGTCGTTGGGTAAAGTAGGGTGTGTTAACCATAAACCACATCAGTTTATCTGCCTTGTCCAGCGAATCTACAGAACTTTCTGGAATCTTGCTGAACACCTTGTGATCCTCATTAGTGGGCGCGAATCTGAGGTTGGTTGTTATGGTGATTGGTGACCCGGTGACCGTCAAGGTTGTCATGGTGGAGCTCGTTCAATGAAACTTTACCATTACGTCATATCTCATGTTATCAGAAAGAATTTCAGAGCAATTTTCGATGATTTACGACTGAACCGCAGACTTCAACGAACACATATGTTACGCTGATTTTCTTTAAACGAAATTTTACCATGGAAGTTATAATATTAAAAAAGAACCGAACAAATAACTGATAATAACTTTTTAAGGGCGGTGACGTTCGAGTCCATGTTATCACCGTTCTTAATCCTGGCCACCAATTCCCCAATCGAACTCGGCTGTATTGAGGTACCGTGAAGGAAGATCCCTGATGTAAAATAGTTGTGATAATTACGATTGATTAATGTTTTGGGATACATTCATCCCAATTCACATGGACATATGATTGGGGTGGGTTTGAGTTTGGCGGCGGAAAGGATGTTTTGGAATTCATGGCAAGGAAAATTCAGACAAAGGTTAAAACTTCATATCAATAATATGCTGATTTTAGGATAAATTACAAAAACTAATGCGGTAGCTTCAACTATCTTATCGGACGTTATTTGAACGGACATTTCGTGAACGGATATATTTTTCAACGGACATTTAAATGGACGCTCGAAGGCATCCAAAACCATTCAAAATCTGAAATATTTTCATCTGTTTGGGAGTTTATGTATTTATCCCAAAAGTCCTTTCAACGAGTCAGCTACAAAAGTACCCCCCCCCCCCCCCCCCCCCCCCCATTAATGTCCGTTGAAATAAAGTCCGACAAGGTAAGTGAAAGTTGATGGCGCCTCCAAATATTAAGGACTGACCAATATTTTGGGAACGTTTCGAGTCTAGATAGTTCTGTTTCTCCTGAGATTTGTTCGGTTTAGCAAGCTCTTTGTGTTGTTTTGTGGCAAAGTATTCTTCCAGTAATATAACATCGATCATTGGTGAGACATCTACAAGATCTCCCCACACTGATTTCTTGAACTGAAAAATTTTATTATCTATGAACCTTGAAAACGAATTAAATATCGAAAGACAAACTGAAGCAGTCAGTTTCGTGGATCATATCGTCGGATATTAAAGATATAGCTAGACCTAATGAATAAATATAATAACTCACGGATATAGGAGGAATTTTCTGCCAATGGAGAGGCAGGACTTTAACTTTAGGGATAACTTGGGGTTGGTATTTGGCACCTGAATAGTTGACAATTTCATGATCATTAGTTTTCCCCCGCTAAGATCGTGATTACCAACCTTATTAAAAGAATAGCTTAAAAACTTCGTTTATTGTCCGTCATGAGATAGCTAATATAAATAAACTGTGGTACTTACTGCCTCTCTGGACAATGGATGCTGAAGGAGGTCTCGGAACTCCAGGGGGTCTGGGGGCACCAGGGGGTCTGGGGGCACCAGGAGGCCGAGAGGCACTGACAGGCGCTGGAGGTGGGGTGAAAGTAGCAGGGGGTTTAGGAACTACTTGAGTTACTGGTTTTGGAGGCTCAACTTTGGGTAGCTCTATAGGTTTGGGGGGTTCCGCTATGACACCGTACGAGTCCGAGTAGACATGATCTTCAGCTTCTTTGAGATCGGACACCTTTTGTTCATCTGGAAACAATTTAAACTAGATCGGGACACATCGTTAGCATCTAAAGTGACAGAAATTTTATAATAGTTGAAAACTAAATATTTTACTCTATTAGTATTACATACAGGCATAATGCATTATAATTTATATACGGACGTAGCTAACTTGATTTCTGGTTCTCTTTCTCCTCTTCTTTAATAGTTTTAACCGGAATATGAGATGGCTTAACAGGTTCAGCGGGTATAACTGGGGGGTCCGGTTGAACAGGAGGTGGTAAATTCTCAGTTTGCTCGTACAGAGGCTCCTCAGGTAGGTCAGCTGGAGGTGATGGTAGGTCGGGTGTTTTAGGTGGTGGTGAGGGTAGAGGTGGTTCAGGGATCGGCTCTGGCTGAAGAGGCAAAAAGGTGAAGCATTCATTTTAGGTGCAGAAAATATAATACTCTTTCAATATGTAGAGCCTTCGAAGGATTCCCCTTTTGGATTCATAATATAGTGTTGTTTCTTGAACATGATATAGCAGACAGCAGTCTTACCTTTAATACGGGTACTTTGATGACTGGATCTTCAATTACTGGAGAATTAGCTTGATCTGATGGATTGTTGATAGTGTAAGCTAATTGTTAACGGCAGGTTTCATATTTTGAATGAATTGCGTTCAATCAGAAATGTAGAGCAGTTAAAACCGGGTCTCATGCAGATCTCTCATTCATGAATATTATTTCACATATTATACCGTCCACAATTAACGTTAGATTTTGTATAATGCATAAAAATGATCATGCACTTAATTGAGCAGCAGTCAAAGATTCACGAATACATAATTAATCAAAATTATAAGCCTTAAAAGTTAAGCGGATCGAATTCTTAACGGACCGAATCCCTACCGCTTAATACCTACCGTACGGATAAGGGTGAGGTGATGAAGGGGGTTGGGGTTAGGGTCGGTTTAGGGCTGGGATAAGGGTTACGGTTCAGGTTACGGCAAGGGCTAGGGTTAGGGTATTGGGTAAGCTGTAGGGATTCGGTCCGTAAGGCTGTAAGGGGTCCGTTCCGCCAGCATATAAAACGTCAGCAGATCATGCAGATAATAACTTAGCAGTTAGCAAAAGGAAGAATTATATACAACCAAGACAGAAACATTTATTTTTCAGATTCAAACATTTATTTTACAAGATTGTTAAAAGTTGATTTGAAATCATGCCTAAAGAGGAGGTTTGTCTCAATAAGTCAATATGAGGGACCACATGCAAAACTGGTATATCTGTTTTTGATAGTTTTGAGATAAATGCATTTTACTGATTTAAAGATTCTATATCATGTGTAAAAAACACTTCTAAAAAATGGTATATCTGTCTATATACCATTTTTAAAACTAGAATTGTACCAAAACTGGTATATCTCACGATATACCATTTTTTCTATACTATAAACAATAAAATAATTTAACTGAGAATGGTATATCTGAAGATATACCATTTGGGCTGGCTAAAGTCTATAAAATGTGTATAGATATACCGGTTTTATAGAAGATAAGTTTCTTGAAGGTGGTCTATCTGCAGATATACCATTTTGTTTTCATGATTGTTAAAAGCTAAAATGGTATATTGTAACATATACCAGTTTTGGAAAAATAAAATTTCACTTTTTTTCAAAAATTTCTTCAAAATTGTTCAAAAAAAGTTCCAAAGATGCACCTTTTCACCCTGAAGACTATGAGCTACCTGCGCAAAATTGGTATATGTTCAGATATACCAGTTTTGCATGTGGTCCCTCATATATAATGTGCGGAATTCGGATCGTGAATGATTACACAGAAAGATAAAATTGATTATTAGACAGGAAAGATTATAGATTAATCGTTCATTAACTAATTAAGATTACAATAAAATTTACGGACAGAGAGAATCAGGGAATAGTGAAGGGTGAGTGAATAACATGGAACAATGTCGATGTCATTTAAATCACAGGGCACAATGTATTTAAAAAGGATCATATTTTATGAATAAATCATTAAGTTTGGCATGAAATCATTTAAATTAAGTGTAAAGTACGCGAAGACGAAGAGGACAGTAAAATACTAAACACCAAGATAAAAAGTGTCGAATTTAGCTTTTAAGCCTGGTATAGCTCAGCAAAACTAAAGAGTAGTCCAAAGCAAGACTATAAGCGGTCAGTTCACACAAGGATAGGCGCTAGCCTATACAACAAGTATTTTAGCTTGAAAAGAGAAAGATAAATTAGCTCACTCCCACTCACTCTTACCGACCTATGTTAGATGATTTGGAGAAGGTTCTAGTCGGAGGCAAGGGAGCAACTTTAGTTGGCAGCGGTGGAGGTGGAGGTACAAGCTTCGTCTCGGTCACATTTCGATTAGTCTCATCAGCGTATATTAATTCATCACTGTCAGCGTACAAATTCTCATCACCCACTACTAAAATACCGGACAATTCCTCACTGATACTGTTATCCTTCCTATTACTGTCCACGTGATCATTACTTTTAGAAACCGCTTGGGGGATACCGTTCGTAGGAGTTCTTAAGTTCCTGAGACCGTTAATAATTTTGTTTTCCAGAGCACCCCCTCTCATCTCCGGAGGTGACATTGGCAGCTGACTTATCCTATCATCAAACACGAACACTTGACCGTTCTCTGGTTGCTGGTTGTTTTGGGGCGGTGCACGAGGTGGCAGACTAACGTTGGAGTCCCTCCTAGGAGGAGGGGGAGGAGGGAAGAAGGGCTGAGGAGACTGGCTATTTGCGTAGTTGTCACTGTACTCGCTACTTCTCTCACTAGACCCGACACTGACTGACCCCACACTCTCACGGTGGAGCCGGGCCCTGGGGGAGGACAGCTGAGGAGAGGAGGAGGCGGAGGAGGGGTTCTGAACTTGGTTCTTGGAATCACGCTTCAGGGATGAGCGCTTTCGTGGGACCGGCGGTGGTTCTGGTGTGGACGTAGGGTTTACTTCAAGTTATACAAACATTTGGGGCGGCTTGGGTGCAACACAACGTGTCACATAATGGGTCACATTTGTCACAAATATGCTGTGATTACTTTCTTTTTATGGGTCAATATTAGCAAAAATATCAACGGAAAAGTGCTGAAAACGTAGGTTAGCATCATGCAATGTAGATTGGCCTGAAATGGGCTGGATGATTTTAAAAAGTTCGAAATTGTGCTTTGAAATACCCCACTTCTCACTTCACACTGTTACCTCTAGTCACACGCTCACACTCCCTAAAAAGTAAAATTGCTCACAAAAATCACACTTAGCAGTTAGCATGCAAGTAATCCCACTCTAGCTCACTCTACCTCGAGGATGGTACATTTGTACTCCGTTCATTGGAAATACTCGCGGCGGGATTCTAGGAACTCTCGATACTGCAAATTTGGCAATCCATTAACTGATTAGTTATTTAATTGATATTTAAGAGATTATTATAAAGCCAAAGATACCAATACCAATAGAGCACTTCAAGCTATAACTCTTTGCTGGTCTTTACTTTTTCTACCACCTTCGTTGCTGTTGACAAAATGTAGTTCACCCCTTCAGATTAGCAAGAGATTCTTCGATTGAAAGAAGCAATGTTTGAATATTTTACAATTAGTATAAGTTAATTAGTCGCCATTCCTCTTTACAGTCCAGCCTTCGCCATAACCTGGCCAGATTTAAAAACAAGATTTCAGAATTGGGGGATTTCTATTGATTATCAAGAATTGAAATGATGAGTGAGATTATGTAGCGATAAAACAACATCCAACATGCAATACAGTAATAATTAATAATGTTACGTTTAACATTTATTGATAACATAGCTAAAATATCCTATGCAAATCCATAACCATGTACACGTCATCATACAACTACTAAATTACATAACAAACATTCAACACAGAGGACGCATCAACAAAGAACATTCAGGGTATAACAGGCACCCTTATTATAAGGGTACCAGAGACCCATATAATTAGGGTACCAGAGTATTATTCACCGTTGAAGGCCAGGTTCTCGTGAGGATCCTGCACCACATACTGGGACTCTGGATCCTCCACTAGGTCGCTTCTAGGAGGAAGAGACGGAGAAGGAAGAGACGGAGGAGGACGTGTAGGAGGAGGGAGGGAGGGAGGTCCGGGAAGTTGGGGTACCGGTCTACGAGGTGGCTTTGCAGGTTCCCTATTTTGGAGGGAAGGAGCGAAGTAAATTTCTTCATCGTCATCAGCTGGTTTGACCAGAGAGGGAACATTGTAAATCTCGTCATCTTCTTCTTCCAAAGCAGCTTCTCTGTTAACTTGTGTGTATTTTGGAGGTTTGTCAGGACTTTTGTTCGGGTCTGTTGACAGTTTGGCTTGCTTGATATCCACCAGTTCAAACGATTCTTTTCTCTGGCGAATTGTGCTAGGTTTCTCTACAGGTTTTGGGCGCACCATTGAGTAAGCATGGGTTCTTGTTCTGATCGGCGAGAAGAACCCGTCAGCTTCAGTGGATATCTTCCTTCCAGGAGAGGGTTTAACAGGAATTGCATCATAGATAGGATCCTCATCCTCACCCTCACCCTCACCCTGATAAATAGGATCCTGATCCTGATCCTGATATTCATAGACTGGTTCTTCAGTTGTCTTGTCTTCTCCTGTCTTAGGAGAGTCGTAGATAGGTTCCTCATCCTGGTAGATAGGCTCATTTTCTTGACTACCAACCATAACATCGTACGGGCACTCTTCCTCTGGGTCTGATGGAACTGTCCGTCGACAATGTTAGAACATGACAATAACAGACGCTAACATTCACTATTCACACTGCTTCACTGGTATTACCAATTCACTAATATGACCACGGTTACACTGCTGTTAAAACTGAGATCCTTATTCCATGAAATTACCGCGGTTTAAAATTAGATAGATATTCAGAATTTTGGACATATGAGTTGCAATTCATAGACGTTCAATGTCATTCCCAGATCTACGAGTTTTCTATGTCAATCGTGAAAATTTCAAGGAATAAGGAAAATATCGTCGGACAGAACTCTCACAAAGTACAGTGGACAAATTAGGAAGTTGCAAGATACTACTACCGGTAGAGAGAATATGCACGTGCAGTAGAGAGAATATGCACGTGTTGTGCATAACCTCCCTACTGACAGCACCAAGTAGAAAGTACCTGATTCGTGAGGAGGAACAGGGGGAGGTATCCTGTCAGGAGGGGGTCCGGAGACCTGTTGTACCAGAGGGGATCTCCTGCCTGTTACCGGACTTTCTGTGGAGTGGTGCAGTGGGGGTCTTCTCGTAGGATGGAGTGCACGGCTCTGGGGGTGGTTGTTGTTGTAAGAGAGATAAACATAGATCGTACACAATCTCAAGGGCAAGTTAAATGTGTTTGTCAGTTGTCATAGTCACTGATACAGGGAGAATAAAAAGTATATCCGTCACATTTTGTCTCAAATTATCACAGTTTGTCACAGTTTGTCACAGTTTGTCACAGTTTGTCACAGTTTGTCACAGTTTGTCACAGTTGACACAGTACATATTGTCTTATACATAATTAACCTTCAACGTCCCCACACCCCGTGTTATAATCAACAGGGCAGAGTCTGTCACTGTACTTCACAAAGAGATTGGAACTAAACCGCCTGTCCGCCGCTTCGTCCTCATCCATACTGTCATCTGTCAGTGGGTCTGGTAGACAGTACTCTACATGACTGTCACTATAACTGTTTCTCTTTTTATCAGAGTTGCGATATAATACTAGTCCGGTCAGGTAAATGTTGTCATTGTCAGGAGGATGTGTAGAGTCAGTTAGTGAGGTCAGGGAAGGTCGGTGATGCCGAGGGAGGGTCTTAGGTGGCAGTGGAGGGGGAACACTGTCTTCCAGCATCTCTGTAGAGTCAGGTTTGTATCAGGTTTGAGATAAGCGAAACAACATATCAAGATATGTGGACAAGATACGGGATAAAGATAATTTGACACAGAATGCATTACAACAATGCGACTCATAAACAATACTCCAATCCGGATTTTACAACATATCAAGCGTAAGTTTTGCTATGGTAATGGTAAGGATGAAACGGTTCAAAACTCACGAAATTCCACATCCTCGTAGTTACTGGAGATGGATTCTTCTCTGTTGGAGTTGGTGGAAGACTGACTACTGATGTCATCTGTAGAGGGGGACACAATGTCTGCGGAGTATACTGTTATCTCTTTATCTCTTTAATTATCTACATATTGTTCAATTATGTCTCACTTCGCCGTCTGAGGATTCTTATCTTGAAGATATTAAAGTCGATAAATTTTATTATTTTATCATAACAACTTTGTCTCATCTGGTTAGTAACAATTACACAATCACGTTAACAAATAGCTGAACTGACTAGCAAGCTTTGGGCTGTAAGAGTGAGAGGGAGGAGGCAGGGAGACGTTAGCAGAAACTGCAGTCACTAGCTTCCGCTCTATGTCGTCCAGCAGTTGATACATCTTGTTCGCCTGGTTTAAACACAGTTATTAATGATTTTATCTGGTGATCGTTTCAATTGTTCCTCAATCTTATTGAAATTGCTGAAAAATGTGGCGACTTTTCACATGTACCTGAGCAGCACACTCCTCTTCAGCCTCGTACTCTTTCAGCACTTCCAACATTGACTCCAGCTGTTGCTTTGCTAGGTTCACCAGATGAGTTCCGATCGGTTTTGCAGTGCTTCCAACTGCGAGGTTAACTTGTTTAGTGTTTACACCGGCTCAACACGCTTCCACTGGTATTACAACTCTAAATTACAACTCTCAGTATCACTCTTAAGGATAAAAAAGAAGATTCTCATTTATTGATCATTTATTCAATCAAAGGTCGACTTTTGAACAGGTAATTAGAACAACATTTTATTTTAGATGGTTAAAGTTTAATAGTGTCACGTGTGAGGTTTATTGTCAATGTTCCAATAATGTCTATTGGATGCTAGTCAGTTATAGTGAAGTATGCTAAAGCCCTGGTATCATAAGTTTCTTGCTTGAGCAAAGAGAGTTTCTGTCGGTATAACTTCATGAGATGATAAACAAATATGTATTAGAAGAAAGACAAAATTTATTAATACGAGAGGTATTTGATAACTTATTACTTACACTTCTTTACATCTCCTGCAAGGTAACATTCAAATTTAGTTAGTCTCGATCTAAGTCTTTATTAAGATCTAACAAGACACAAAGTTCATAATGGAATAACATTCGAGTTAATGCGGAATTAGGGGATCAATAATTGTGCAAACAATTACCTCTGTTAACAGCGGGGTGTAACGGGGAAGAAAATACTCCTATCTCGTAGGCTTGCTTGATCGACTGACGGGGTAGTTTAATTGAAGAACTAAGAAGAATTATAAACGTTTGTATGGACAGTCTTACTTATTTTATTCTTTTCTAATTAATTATTGCATGCCTGAAAAATTCAACAACAAATCGTTTAAGTGGTTGAAATGATATTTCAAAATAATTCTTAATCTTACCGCAACCCATTCCTCTCGTCTCTCGATAATGTCATCCACCTTTAGCTTTCCTTTTTGTATCATGAAACTGAAATAGGGAAATTACAGGGTAAAATATTTTCAAGCATTGTCTATTTTTAACAACAATCGCCATAAAACTTATTCATGAGTATATAATTACTTGTGTCGACATTTCTCTTTTTTCTCCTAAAAAAGAACAGTAATATTGTTGGTCACCTGAATTCCTTCTCATCTTTATTATTCGTAGGGACTATGGTGAATCCTTCATTTCCAAATCGTTTAATTTCGTTGAGCTCTGGATTTAGGACTATCGTATTCAGCGGAGCCTGGGATTTTGAAAATCGATTTCAGTGATGATTCACATTGAACAAATTTAAAGCGCGCTCGTCCGGTCGCGCGCAAACCGTCAACGTGAATGCTGAAAAGCCAATCAAGACTTAGTTCGCGTGTTCCATTTTAGCACATTTGCCACTGTCCTAGCTGAGTGGCATCACGCCATGGTTGTTTACCGCTCTTTTCTTGATGTTATTTTCACGTTTTATTCACTCAAAATATGTCAGTTTACATAAAATCTATCAACATACGTTAATTAACAAACCTCATAACTTTTGGAGGAGTCTATTTTATAGTAACTGAGTTTCCCCTGTGTAACTTTGACGAAACGCCTGAAAGTGCAATGTAAAATGATATGCGTAAGCCATAACACGTAATATATAGAACATCTAGTGTAATCTGATTGTGGGAAATGTGCTTGTTTTTACTTCCTAGTGTCCAATGTTTAATAACAAATCGTATGATTTCTGCCTTAGACATTATATTCAGATCGAATGTTTATGATAATACAGGGTGGGCCAAAAGTCAGTGTGCAAACGTTGGCCTTAATAGCTCAGTCGCTGAGTGCCCAATTGAAATACTTCCTTCTGGTATGACTTAGTACCACCACTGGTTCGAGGAATTTGTCAACTCGAAAAATATTCGCGTTAATTTTTTTCAAATGGAGGTTCATTTTCACATTTATTTGATAGTTTGGATAGTCGGATCAAGCTAAATGTTATAATAATGTATATAATATTCGATCAGATTTTTGCATAAATTTCCTTACAGTGAAAAAAACTGCAATGAACGAAAAATTCGGGTTAGAAAAAAATTCCTGACATATCAGCCAGTCTTTTTTTAACTTGTGACTGTCACTCAGCTATAATCACTGAGCAAACAATATAATCTGGCAGGAGAAAGATAATGCTGTTCAGTGTGCTTTTTCACTTACTTTTTAGTTCCACCCAGAGCATGTGGTCCCTTCTTGTCTAGATACCCCTCAATCAGTACATTCTCCTCCACCAGACACAGGTCATCCTCGTGTCCAATACTGGACAGACACTTCTGAACTTTATCCTGCTCTGAAACATCTGAGAGGCCCAGTTGGTAGGTTTGTTCTGTGGTTGTTGTGATGATTATCTGACCTTCACTCTGAAAGTTTACAGTTATAGAACACTTTCCATAAGGAGGATGTTTTTGAAATATTGAGAAATGTTAAAGAGGGGCGTGTCACAAGTTTCCGTAGAACGACTCATTCTACACTCATTCTACACTCATTCTACACTCATTCTACACTCATTCTACACTCATTCTACACTCGTTATACACTCATTCTACACTCATTCTACACTCATTCTACACTCATTCTACACTCATTCTACACTCATTCTACACTCATTCTACACTCATTCTACACTCATTCTACACTCATTCCGAATGAGTGTAGAATATTCCCAGTTCTGTGAGTACTGAGCATATATTTAATATTTCCGATTTAGGACAAATATTCGTCAGAGTATTTTCTGCAGAATTGCAAACCACTCACTGCACGACTTAACTGCCCAACATGTGGTGTTGTCATACTCCCGGCTGACACGACCAGGGGACTTTATAGCTATATGCTGAGCATTAATTAGGACTATCATGACAAATAATACTGCTAACATTTGTCATAATGTCAGTACATACCACTTAGATACCAGTGCGTATCAATACATATCAGTACATACCACTTTAGATTTATTCTCGAAGATAAAATCTCAAAATTACTCTAACATTGAAAGTAAATAAAGGTAATCAATTCAATTAATAACACTTATTTATTAATGTACCAATTAATACAATTGGTGCATTAGTAAATAAAGGTAAATAACTAGTACATACTAAGATAATTAATAAGTACACACCACTAATTAACTGATTAATTAGTACATACCACGTCATGATGTGAGATCTCTTCAAAAGGTATCTCAATTGGTTTCTTGCCCCTCACAATGTACTGAACTACATTGGCACTGAACACAAACTGCAACATCTTGCGTTGCCCATCATCCTTCTGGAGCTCGTACACTTTGAAGATGGGGTTGCTCTGTGACGTAGCTTGGTTGCTTCCCTGTGAGTTGCTGTCAGATGGTTGTTGATAGTGTGAATATTGTAGGATAACTTGGGACTACGTAATCAAGGGGAAATGCATTTCTCTTAATAGAATGTTTAATCGATGTTGATTTTCTTCAGAGCAGTTTCTTTTTTCAAGAAAAAACCTCATGCTGTCAGATGACCATGCTTTAGGATTTGCTGTAATGTTCCAAATCTCCGACAGGAACTTTATAAGATATACATTATTTATTTTAAATAACGCATTCGATGTATAGTGTTATATCCGTCATAACTTAATTCATTAATATTTCAAATTAGCGGAAGTCCTGGGTCATGCAGCCTTTCAAGTATAAATTATAGTTGACAAGTTGACACAACATACAACAAAAGTTCATGGCAGCGAAATGTTTGACATTCAAAGGATAACCGATCACATTAGTGACACTTATGATCTTTTAATGACCATTACACAAACACTTATCCCTCATCAATCAGATCGACTCAGCATACACTTAACTATTGACCTTACTGCACATCCAAATAGTTCAATAAATACCATTTAAAATTTACAGACGATAATTATTACAGCGTTACATCGGACAGAGATGTTGGAACACGATGTAAAGGTTATGACAATCACAGAGAATGCAGGTCTACGTGCACATTCTCGTGCATATGCACGTACATATATGCACGTGGTATTGCCACGTATATCTCCACATCACAATAGAGAGAGATCAAGGGTGCAGTGTATTTACAAAAGGTTGCGGGATAGGATCGAAGAAGCGGCTCTGAACCCTAGAGATGGTCTTGATGGAGGTAGGTTCGGACTTGTGTTTAGACCTTCTCTTAAACCCAGGTGAGGTGGGTGACTTCTCCATTCCACTAGGACCAGGGTATTCCGGGATACACTCAGCGCTTCCCATACTGGTTATACTTCTCATGTGCCGGAGTGAGAACTTCTTGCTCAGCTTGGGCGACTTAATGGAGGACCGGGCATCTGACTGGGTAAGGTGGGGTAACACGGTAATTAGGTCATTAATTAATTAGTTGATTAATTGATTACAAACACTGTATGACATAATGAATTAATTACGGTAATTAAGTATTGAACTTACGAAATTAAGACGATAAAACAAGGTACGAGTGATTGAAGGTCAACACAACAGTTAGACATGTGACCTCTTCTTCTGTTTCCATGGTGGGCACATCAGGTACTATATTGTCTACAGAACCCTTCCTGCCCTTTTTTGTCATGGAACGGATTCGTTTCATTGACTTCATTGAGAAACTACGTTCCCGGCTTAGCTCCTTAGATTATGCTAATTAACTTTAAGCCTTCAATTTTATCTCACACTAAATTTTGAAACTGAAGTCACTATAATTTTTCATATGAAAATTTGATCAAAGCCTATGGCATATAATAATTGTGTCAATGTTATGTTACTATAGTACTATGTATATCTAATGTAGGGGTGACTATTGAAACTCGTTGACAACTCAGTATATCTGAACCTTCCTACGGTATCATTATAACTTTGAAGCCCCTCAGTTTGAGTTTGAAGCCTTTAAGTTTTACTCCAACTTTATAAGAGTGCATAGGAACTAATGGGTGTTAACTGGGGGTACATTGCAATTAGGCGCCCATTGTTAGCGAAAGGGAAACTAATCTTATCTTAAACTATTGTTTTTGTTTTAGACACCTCGGTTGTCACATACTTATTATCTGATTCAAGAAACTGTGACAGGATAATAAAAACACCCAAGGGAAGGAAAAGTTAGGACGACTCGCAAAGCTAAAACCCGACTTGTAACAAACCTGCGACACGACAGACACATGGCCAGACGGGGGTGGGGGAGGTTTGCGTTGATGTTGAGGTGGGGATTGAGGTTGTGGTTGAGTGGCAGTAGGATTGTTGTCCATTAGTTGGAGCTTCTCGGCGTAGGTTGGGAGTTGTTTTATTGTCAATTTACCTGTAAGAGAGTGTGTTCAGTAAATCTTATTCGTAACTTCTGGTTTGTACTGAGCTGCAATTACTTTACATTGATTTCAGAAATTGTTGGCTTTCTATTGTGTGAATATCTACGTATTCAAATAGTTAGAAGCACTACCATTATTGGTAGCAGTGATTAAGTTGCACCAGAAGTATCAGCAGCAGGTGAACAACCATGGAAATACCGTTACCATGGAGATACCGCTTGGTAAATTGTAAATGTTCGGAAAATATCCTGACTTCCAGCAGCGTTAAAATCAAGACGCCATGTTAAAAATATCGGAGTAGGTGTAAGCCCTACCTTTAAATTATGTTTCTGCCATTTTTCTATAGATGTAGTTTACAATTTTCAGCATACAAGTATAAAGTGTCGAATCCGTTGACAAAGACAGAACTACTACTAGGGAACGGCCGAAATTTCGATTAAATTCGGTTCAAGAATCCTTTCTCTCCTCATTTTCGTATTTAAATCTTAGATTCATTAACAAAATTAATTATGTACTAAGCTATATGGTATTTTTCTGGTCTACAGTTTTATTGAACTATTATGGTCGATAGTGGCATTTTGGCATTTGCCAGAATTCTTCAGAATCCGGATAGGTTAACTGTTGGAAATACACAACATGACAACATAGCACATATAACCAAAGTAAGATTGAGTACCTGTTGACTGTTCGCTGTTGCGAAATACTTTGGTAATGACCAATGATATTGAGTGATTAATCGTTTAATATTTTATTACCAATCAATACATTGTCTCAATTTAAATTTTAATGTTAATTGATCCTTAAGGGGGCATACACCAAAACAGTGGTTTGTGCCGTCCAGACCAAATGACCTCATAGGCAGTTCAGTGACCTTCTAGCGCACCGTTTCCACACCAAAAAAAATTATTTTGAGAATTCCCATTTTTGTAATCGAGCATTTCCTGGTTGAGAGTGCAATTTTCGGAAAAAATTATTTTGTGGTTGAGACGCTATAAATAAATAATTTCTTGCGGTATCGGGTTGAAATTTTGCTCGCCGTTTATTCACATCTATTTCAAGGTGTGTGTAAAATCTTGATATCGTATCTAAAAAGGCTGGTGTGTTATGAATTTTTAAAGTCAAAAAGCTAAAATTGTCCTTTTCAGGCTTATTTTAACAAAAAGACAGTCAGGGAAGATCGGATTGATTTGATGCTTGACATCAAATTGTTCTCTGAATTCTGGCGCAGTTTTTGATGCCCTCAAAAATGTTTTTACTCATTCAGCTTCAGATCTATTGGACCTCAAAGCCAAACAACAAATTTAGGCACATTTTTCGGTTTTAATATTTACTGATTTTTCTAAAATTTTGATAGGAATGTGCTAGTGACTTTTTGAAGGGTGCGAAATAACCGCAACTAGCACATTTATATATGAGTTATGAACAACAAAACACCCTAAAATGCTTCCCTTTGAAGTTATGGGAGAAAATGTGATTTTTTATCTGCAAAGCCAAAAAATCACATTTTCTCCCATAACTTCAAAGGGAAGCATTTTAGGGTGTTTTGTTGTTCATAACTCATATATAAATGTGCTAGTTGCGGTTATTTTGCACCCTTCAAAAAGTCACTAGCACATTCCTATCAAAATTTTAGAAAAATCAGTAAATATTAAAACCGAAAAATGTGCCTAAATTTGTTGTTTGGCTTTGAGGTCCAATAGATCTGAAGCTGAATGAGTAAAAACATTTTTGAGGGCATCAAAAACTGCGCCAGAATTCAGAGAACAATTTGATGTCAAGCATCAAATCAATCCGATCTTCCCTGACTGTCTTTTTGTTAAAATAAGCCTGAAAAGGACAATTTTAGCTTTTTGACTTTAAAAATTCATAACACACCAGCCTTTTTAGATACGATATCAAGATTTTACACACACCTTGAAATAGATGTGAATAAACGGCGAGCAAAATTTCAACCCGATACCGCAAGAAATTATTTATTTATAGCGTCTCAACCACAAAATAATTTTTTCCGAAAATTGCACTCTCAACCAGGAAATGCTCGATTACAAAAATGGGAATTCTCAAAATAATTTTTTTTGGTGTGGAAACGGTGCGCTAGAAGGTCACTGAACTGCCTATGAGGTCATTTGGTCTGGACAGATTTGGTGTATGCCCCCTTAAACATGTTACTTCAATCTCCCACAATACTTCAAGCTTTTATATTAATAATACTTAATAACTTATATAATAATAGTGGTCAGATTACTTGTCTGGTCCACCAGCCGGTGTAAGCCTGGACTTTGGACAGCGTTAAAACTCGGCCTTATAATCCAGGGTTATCAGCATTACAAAAGGATAATGACAGATATGAGACATAATTCTGCTACTTAGCTGTTCTTTATCTATGACTCGAGTTCAGGGGGATCAGCTCGATCTTTTAGCTCATGTTTAATACAAGACGATCCGTAATTGGCACAGTTTTTATGAATACATTTGGGATGTCACAATTCGGGCCAATAAGCATAGGAACTATAGCATTCATACGTCTTTCCTTGTAGTTGTCATTCCTCTTCTTTCCTCCTCTTTCCTCCTCATTCCTCTTCTTTCCTCCTCTTTCCTCCTCATTCCTCTTCTTTCCTCCTCTTTCCTCCTCATTCCTCTTCTTTCCTCCTCTTTCCTCTTCTTTCCTCCTCTTTCCTCCTCATTCCTCTTCTTTCCTCCTCTTTCCTCCTCATTCCTCTTCTTTCCTCCTCTTTCCTCGTCCCACACTAATAGTTATTACTCTCTTCTGGGCAGTAACCTACCCTTCACAATGTATACAAATACTTTCTCACATCCAGGAGTGGTTTATTGTGACTTGGGTAGTTTTATTTCTCTGTGTTAAAGTGCTGCCTCGCTAGATTACCCAAGATGTAAATAACGAATGTGTCAACCGAAACAGCCAGGAAATCGTAGGACGGTGTTTCCAAATTAGGATGAAATGAGTGCTATGTGCATGGAACCCATAGTACCCTTTTTTTAATTATAAATTCTTACTCGCTCCAACTGTGAATAATTAATAATTAAGTTTGAACACATTTCTACTTTCTATTCCGTTATTAATAACTAGATAATATAGAAGATAAGTTCCCATCTGCATCCTTCCCCGATAATCTACGGTCTATAAAACCAACCAGACAACTGAAAAAAACACGTGTTTATTAATGGTACAGTCTAGAATCTAGATCTTATAGGAAATGAACTAGCAAGTGGTACGTGCCCACCTAATGTGGGTACAGTTGGGCATGTTGCTATTAGTTACAGAGTTGCATTATTTTCTGTTCAGTTTAGCGTTGGAATGTTTCTCTCCGTCTCGTGAGACCCCACGATTAGTATCCTAGAACCTGACACTGAGACAAACTAGCAGTTATATCAAGAGCAACAATTTTAATATTAAGTCCAGATTATGTTCATAATATATGACTAAAATATGAACGATTAAAGGACCAGTTAACTGAAAAATTTGTAGTCTCCAATTTGGCTAAGATTTAGATCAGCTGTGACAAACTGGTAAAGAATCGTATCGCCGAAAGAACCAATTCTCTAGCGTACGTGTAACCCGTGTTATTGCAATAATAAGCTGTGGCGTCGTGACGTCATAAAGTCCCTCAGTGCGCGCTTGCATAGCGTAATACATTGCAAATGTTTATCATCATCAATAAAACACGTGTAACTCACTCAAATTTTAGAATTATGACTATTACCCTAGTTCTCCAAAATCCTTATAGTTTTGGCTATCATCCTAACTAAAGGAATAGCTGATTGTATGTACAGTGCTCACGTCATGATTTTAAACAGTGATATAATTTCTTGAACAGTGGCGGGTGAATGTACGGTTAGAAAGTTTCTGCTATTACAACTTATGTTATATAATGTGATAATTTTGGATTGTTTTCATTGCTTAATTACACAAGCAGGGAGACTGTACCGATTATTTTTCCCCAGTCCATGAAACTCTAACGAATTTAGAAAGGATCTAGATAAGTAGGAGTTTGTTCAATTCCGAGAGCAATTATATTTATATCATAGCGGAATTTCTAACTTTAATCCACATGTGTCAGCCAGTACAGGAGACAAGAAGTCTGGCTACTTTACGGCCGTTCCTCTGGGACCATTAGTAGAAGTAGCTTCTATCAGAACAGTGCCGTGGGAACAGAATCCCCGCCAAAATACCCGGTCTACCAAATAGTAATACTGATTGGTGTGTACGGTGTGCGGTGTGTTTTGAATTAGACTTACGGCTTACCTAGTTGTTATCCTAATTGTATTATCATCGGTACATAACATAAATAAACTACTGGTAAGTTTAAATACCGAGTGCAAACGTGTTCAGTCAATCGACCCACTGAACAACTATAGAATTTCCAAGACCCTATTATTCTCTGGCCATATATTACGGCACGATCGATTGTTAGATAAGATGGCTAAACGACCAACGTTAATCTATACAATTCTAAAACTATGAGCACTTTAATCTAAAAATACACTTTTTATATTACTCCTGATTTTTACATTTCACGTTAAACATTGTCGCCACAGGTTGATCATGGACACTAACAGCTTAATTTGAGATAAATGACTTATGAGTTTCTCTAAAGTTAACTCTAAAGTTGTGTAGTCCAGTCATTTATGGACATTTATGGAAATGAACCTGCAAATGTTCAAATACTCACGAAACTTTGCACAGACCTTCCTGAAGGTATGAATAAACGATTTTCGTTTGGAGACATTTTTTGACCGTGGAGAAAACCCAGGAGGGCCACGCCCATATTGACCCAATAACGTAACCGACGCCTTGCTTCTGAAGGTCGTAGAGACTTCAAAATAGGCTTAAACCAAGCGGCATATGCATGTTTATATAGGAGTTACTGAGCAACACATGGCCTAAAACCCTTACTTTTCGAGAAATTTGCCAAAAACCATTTTGGGCGTGGTGCTGAGCCCATTTTCGATAGGATCGTGATAGAGTCTTTAGACAGGATGCAAAAGAACCGCAATTAGCATATTAATATATGACTTACGAACAAACATATGCCTTAAAGTGCTTACTTTTTCAGTTATTGGCGAAAAACTGATTTTCGGTTCCAGAAATCATGCTAAAATATGGGCATCTCGTAAATTGGGCTATGAAGGCCCAACAGATTTTTAAATGAGTGCAAATTGTGCAGAATGGCCATGTTTATATACAACTTATGAAGCAACATGTACCCTAAATTACTTACTTTTCGAGTTATTCTTTTCTATAGATAGTATTTTAATCTTTCTTTTCTATAGATAGACCATGTCAATGTTGTTATTAATATTTCTTGGAAGAATGTCTCCTTCATTAGCAGGTTAGTAATGAAGATACTTAGTAAACTGTATTTTATTTTTATTACTTTAGTTAAAAGTAGGGTATTGAACCACTAAATCTAAAAAACTCTGATCATTCTCATAGCATACTTTAATTACAAAGTTGCATAAACAATTATTTTCAATTTATTAGTCACCACTCACTAGATTTAGTTTCAGTGTTAAGAGAAAGAGTTCCTGGAGAGATAACACCAGTTTTAGCAGAGCACTCTAATACCAGGCATACCGAGGAGGAGTCCGCTGCTGCACATGCTATAGACTTGGATCTGGAAACCCTTTCGAACACAAAAGCTGATTCTCACGGTGCGTACTGGGTAAAGATAACACTTGCCCAGGTGTACTGTATTGATCAGATAGTGTGGTATGGGGCTGATGGTAATGCTCGCCGCACATGGAGCTGCTCGGAGAGAGACTGTGATCCCTGCGAGGGTCCAGACTGCACTCAACAGTTTACCGTCACAGTTCTCACAGAAGGAGAGCAGCCTGGTAACCGCCCGGATCGATCTGGCTGCTTTCCCGGAAACAGGGTGGTGATAGAAAGAATCGCAGGGCGTTATATGAATATAAATGAGGTGGCAATAATCGAGAAACAAGGTAAACTTTTAAATCTCGTGTGATTTTAAAGTTAAACAAGAGTCAAATGAAGATTAGCACGGATGTAAAATGATTAAAAAACATACAATATTAGGTAGCATTATCCCATATTTCTAACACCTATAATTTCAGTTCAATTTGAATGTGAAGCTCACGTTCCACCATGGAATGGACCTGATCCATGCTCTAGAATAGGTGAGGTTTATTAAAATTTAATTTTAAGTTATTGCAGCAAATTTAGTTAGGCAAGCAAAATATTTTATAAAATCTGTTTCTTCTTAGCAGTAGGGTGCGGTTGAAACAGGTTTTGTATTCTGCGACATGGATTAATTAAAATTGTTTTTACTTTTAGTTTGATTGATTTTGGAATGTAAGAACAAGGTATGTTATAATTTGTTTTATTGTTTACATTCGTAAAACCTAGAGAGGATCTTTTACATCACTGCTGACGGATTTTGTCAAATTTAACAACAAGAAATGTATAGCAAGAAATACAATTTACAACAATACAATATACAGCAAGAAATAAAATTGTATCTAAGCTATTAACTTATCAAGTTATCGAGTTATTAAGAACATGTTACCTTGTTTGAAAAGGTTCATAAGGAAGAGCCGACTTGTATCGCCTTGTTTCTGTGACTGGGAGTTGTCTTTCTGCAAAACAAATTATCAAGTTAAGTCATATTTGTGCGTCAAAAATCTAAAAATGAAGAAAATCTCCATACATTTGCTTTAGAAATGGAACCTTAAAGTGCTCACCAAAATAAAAGAAGAGAATCCACAAACAAATTTACTTAGTGTGGGCACCATGACTTACTGCATAATATATCTGTAGGGTGGCCCAAAAGTCACCGAACAGCGGTTCCGGCCTATCACATAACGGCCAATTATCTCAACTCACTCGTACCGGTATAATATGTAATAATCAACGTGGTTGAATCGGGGAGGCGATTAAAGTTGTTTTGTGACCCGCAATCAGAATCAATCAGATCCAGGAGTCGGTGTTACGTGTCATAAAAATTCACACGAACTCGCCGCTTCAAAACAAGCATGTAATTGTACTCACAGTGATTTGGTTTTGCAGTTCCACTATCTGCTGCTCTGCAAAGTCTCGTGTGATGAGACCATCTCGTATTATCTCCTCTGCAACCTGAGGGTGTTTCAGATCACATTACCTATTTGATTCAACCATGTTTGTCTTTCTTAACTAACACGAGTCAGAAATTTAAATCACCTCCTTATAATATCACGTGTCAAAACAAATGGTCACATGTCAAAACAAATGGTCACATGTCAAATAGAAGTCAGATTACTCAACAAGACAACAATTGCAACCTTTTCATTAAAACAAGCGACCATTATAGGATTAGTGATATTCTATTTGAAAACTTAAGTTACAATTAGTTATATATTATTAGTTATGATTTTTGTTCCAGCTGCCTAGTTAAGTGCCTAGTAGCTATCAACAGTGATTTGTCAACAGTGTTGTCATTGGTTCTGTACACAACTCTTAATCCTGCAGCCGATTAGGTAATTGAATATAATACACATACATGTGGTGTGGTGTGAAATAACATATAATGCTCCTATCACTATACCATATTATGTAATCAGGTGTAAAGTTTCAGGTAGAAATCTAAGCAGGACCCAGCTTTAGTTTTATGTTACACGCCAAACTCAGAATTCAGAAAACCTACTTTTCCGAATTGGTATCCTAAATCTTGAATAAAACCACCTCAATCTGGTATAAAGCCTAGTTGACTGGCAATGTGTAAGTAGGTGTAGTGTGTAAGTACTGTGTAAGTACTGTGTAAGTACTGTGTAAGTACTGTGTAAGTACTGTGTAAGTACTGTGTAAGTACTGTGTAAGTACTGTGTAAGTACTGTGTAAGTACTGTGTAAGTGCTGTGTAAGTACTGTGTAAGTACTGTGTAAGTACTGTGTAAGTACTGTGTAAGTACTGTGTAAGTACTGTGTAAGTAATGTGTAAGTACTGTGCAAGTACTGTGTAAGTACTGTGTATGTGTACTGTGTAAGTACTGTGTAAGTACTGTGTAAGTACTGTGTAAGTACTGTGTAAGTACTGTGTAAGTACTGTGTAAGTACTGTGTATGTGTACTGTGTAAGTACTGTGTAAGTACTGTGTAAGTACTGTGTAAGTACTGTGTAAGTACTGTGTATGTACTGTGTAAGTACTGTGTAAGAACGTGTAAGTAGCATGTACCCACCTTGTAGACCGAGTCAATATCTATTTCGCCCACAGAACTCAAACTTATTTTAGAGGTATATCTGCTAGAATCCTTGGTCTGTGGGACCGGGCTGACTGCTTTGCCGATATTTGGGGCTGACTTGGCCGGAGACATCCCCTGAGTCTTGCTACTCGGGACCATCAGTTTCCGACCCATCTTGAACAAGAACCAGTTCACTTTGGGCATGGTGATGGTAAAAAACGGTCGGAAAAGAGTCGACAACTAAGTACTAACGCAACAAGAAACAAGGTGAAGCACACTTAGTAATGTAGGATGTATAATACCGGACATTCTATGCGGACATTTCTACAAACTGCCAAGGGAGCTTCAGCGGACATCCAATAAGAATACAGGGATAGAACACGTGATCAAATTAGAATGAACTAAGCGAGAAACTTGACAGTGAGTAGTTCAACATAGAAAGATGGTTTAGTCACTTTAGCAATGGTGAAAAATCTACCGATACTAGCCAGAATTCGAAACTTCAAAAAAGAAAAGCAAAACTTCTAACGTCACATTCATTTAAACCACGTTCACAAGCTTTTGACAGGAAACTACTCATTCAGAACATTGTGTATCAAGAAAGTAGAAAGTGGGGAAGTCAAGCCCTGAATACGACAGTAACTAGCAGGATACACAGCAGCTCGCAGCACTGCAGAAGCCTCACTATTGCTTGTCACGTGGTTTTGACTACCTTGGGGTTGGGTCACGTGACAAAATACAGCTAATTCAACTACGTCACGTGACAAAATACAGCTAATTCATTGGCTATCAACTACGTCACGTGACAAAATACAGCTAATTCAACTACGTCACGTGGCAGAATTAAAACGTTTGATTGCATAACAGCTCAATTTTACCAATGAGTAGAATCAAGAACAAGTGTGCCAACTTCCCCTACTACTACACCTATTACAATCGAAAAGGTAAACATTATTCGGTTCTAATTCTGTGCACTGTTCTTAATACCGGGCCCAGTTTTAAACTATTAGGAATGTTGCATGACATGACGCACTGGACAATCTGTTGAATTGTCAATGTATGCCTGTCTTAATTTCAGGCAATTTATGAAGAGAATTAGTAAGCACTATACATACAGTTGTTGGTAATAGGGAGGTTGATTAGTAGTTAGTACCAAATGTACAAAACGAAGGAGGGGGGGTTTAACATGAGATATCGGCCATCAAGTACTGATATTTCAGAAACCATTCCAGAAAGGAGCGTGCCAATAACCCCCCCCCCCCCCCCCCCCCCACCACCCCACTCCTCTTTTTACATAGTGTACAGTGTTTACAGCTACTTCCGGATACTCAAGACAATAGACCAGTAATACAACCCAAACCAATACTAATCAAACAGTAGGTAATATACCACTAATCAGTGAGTAATCACACAGTAACATCACTAAACACACAGTAACAGCACTAAACACAGCGCTCAAACTCTCGAAACTTGAAAGTAACGGGGAAACTATTGTAACCTCACAGGATTGAAACAAATACACTAGAACGCGATGAAAATAAACCATCAACCACTCGAAGAACACTTTTCTAAGGAGAAATCTCCGCGTGTCTCCGTAACTATAACAACGCTTGGCTGGTCACGTGATCAAGGCGAGATGGCGTCAGTCCAATACATTATGAGCATATTGTGAAGCAGCCTGGTCATTGGCTGAGCTGTACCCCACAGGGGTAAAGCACCTCTAATTACCGTTTAAATGTGACGCCAGAAACTTCATTCGTATAGCTGTACAACGTAATAATAATACAGTGTTCGAATAATGATGGACCGCACGATTTGTAGAGTATAAGACCGTGTGTGCGAGGTCAGCTTTATTTTATGTGAAACATAATATTACAACTCTCATTACTATACAATGTACTGTCTACATCTTGACGGGGAGGTAATGTCCTTTTTATCACATTCGGCCCACATTATTTTATGTGGAGCATGTAATTTCGATATAAAAAACACAGCTTATGTCTGTACTGATTACCCTTTAAAACTTTAAAATTACAGTTTAATCGATGTATTTTTAACTTTGGCTCTATAATTTGGTTTCTAATCCTGTTCGCTTTATTACAAGCTAATTAAATAATCCAGCCTTAAAAAGTAAATAGTAAAGTCATTAGTTAAATTAAGATATCACGGTAAGTAAAGTAATTACTTAATAAATCAGTTAAGTAAAAGTTATAAAATTACCAACCTTTCTGACGTATTCCATGTTCCTAGCGATTGTAGCTCTAAGAACCTGTGGAGAAACAGCGTTCAACGTGGTCGTCCGTTCTGAAATATAACTGTGTGAATACGTTGTAGATACACTTTAAGTACGTATTTTTTCCCGATCCATGACTCGTGCCGAAGGCACAAAAGAGTCAAGGACAAGGGTTAGCGATCGAGGTTTTTTTTTTATATGTAGCTTTGCGACCGAGCGTGCGTGCGTGCGTGCGTGCGTGCGTGCGTACGTGCCTGCGAGCACTGTTATCGCCCACGTGACTACCTGCGCAAAGTTATTTTGCGTGATAATCTGAATTATATAATTGTTGGCGCGCGGCGCTGAACCAACCAAGTACATTATTAATTTCATCATGTACGTATCCCACTAGGCACTAATTGATAGCATATTATTATTATTTTGAGTTAGTATTACTATTTTGCACAGATCCGTGTCAGGTTGCATAAACAATAAACATATGGTTACATAGAAATATACACGATTTTCAAATTCAATATAGAATTATATTAACTGGGCGGCGCTCGGCAGTCGGCATGTCACTTCGCCATATTTGCATGTTTATATAAACAGTAAAGACTGGGCCGTCCCAGGTTGTATGGAATATGATAAATACGCCATCACGGATCGGGAAATTGAGCGGCCATCCACAAAAGAAAAGCGGCCGCATTTCTTGTTGGTATCATGGTTTACACTTGAGTAACATCTACCCTAGAGTGATACGAGAAGTTCTGTTGTCCCGACTCCACATTCAGGTGCAAAAGATTAATTATTAAATTACAATTATTAATTAAAGTATTAATTCTGGTACCTTGGTGTTTGGCTGGCGCCATTTTTACAACTCAAGAAAATTGTGAATATGTAGACTGTTTATTCAAACGTTGTACGTTTTAAAGTGCAATTTAGAGCCTGGAAAAAGGTTTAAAATTCAAAACCTTTGCACTGTTGTACGAATATGGAACACTCTTGAAAAAGGCACAGAGTAATGTTAAGATGAATATTACTCAGAATAAGTTTTATCTGAAAGGAAGCTCTCTTTCTTATCATAAGAATAAGTTTTGTCAGAAAGGAAGCTCTCTTTCTTATCAAATTTCGGTTTCTGGTGGAGAAAAGGCTGATATTTTGTCCTAGTTAGCGGCTCTTTAAGTTCTTAATACTTTGTGTCGTGGTGATTGGTGGGTATGATAAAATCAATGACGTTAGACATTTAAATATTAAGTAGATGACCGTACATGAACACACCAAGAAAACACTATTTCAACTAACAATGTTGCCAGACGAGAATTAATTTGTGTAGATCTGAGCAGCAGCCAATTTGAAAACAGGATAAAGAAAATGGCAGATCGTCACAGTCTGATAATAACTAATAGGTGCCAATTATAGATATTTAATTGCGATGTGGGCTCATCTTTTGGACTGATTGTTTCATAAATTTGATAATTTCCCCGGTCGAGCACAGGTGCTAAAATAATCCTGAATGTTCTTCGACAATACGGCTAAAATCTTAGAATTTTTATAAATTTTGTTACATTTTTTTATAAATTCGATTTTGACTTACATCATTAATTATTAAACAAAGAACGAGACAACCTAAACCACTAAAATCAGCCTAACTAACCAAATACATTGAATTAAACCTTTATTTTTTATCGCATAGACGGTTCAAATTGAATCATATGGTCGCTAAAACTTCTCATAATTAAAAAAACAATGGACGACAACCATCTGCTTCACAATACTCAATCCTCCACCTCTACTATAAAACCCTGCCTGACCACCCACAACTCATCAAACCAATCTCTCAACATGAAGCTTCTACTGATCCTGACACTAGCCGGGCTCGCTGCCTGTGAAGACTATGAGTCTGTCCTGCAATCCCCCCTTGCTCTGAAGAACCTGTTCTCCGAGTTCAACGGCAAGTACAACAAACTCTACTCTCCCCAGGAAGCTCCCCTTAGGATGAGGCTCTTCAGGGCTGACCTCCAGAGAGTGGTCCAGCTGAACAAGGAGAACGACTGGGTTTCAGGACTCAACCAGTTCACCGCCATGACCCAGGCTGAGAAGCAGCAGCACCTCGGACTCAACATCTCCAGAGCTGACCTCTCTGAGGATCTCCCTGAACTGTCCGCTGTCCCTGCTGCCAGCTCCATTGACTGGAGGAGTCAAAATAAAGTTACCGGTGTCAAGAACCAAGGAGGATGTGGATCCTGCTGGGCTTTCGCTGCTGTCGGAGCTGTGGAGACCAACTACGCTATCCAGACTGGCAAAAGGAAGCAGTTTGCTGAGCAGGAGTACCTAGACTGTACCTACAGCAGCAGCAGAGACGGATGCAAGGGAGGATGGTACCACGAAGCTTGGGATTACTCCAAGAGTTCCGGCAGACTGGCTACTGCAGCTGCTGCTCCCTACAAGGAAAAGGACGGAAGTTGCTCTTACTCCAGAGTTCACAACGGTCTTATCGGTGCTGTTATCACTGGATCCAAAAGCATCAGGAAAGGAGAAGGCAACGTCATCTCGGCTCTCAACAACGGAGCTGTGTCAGTAGCTTACGAGGTGACTGACGATTTCTTCAAGTACACCGAGGGAGTTATTAAAGACTTCAGCTGTAAATCCTACGCCAACCACGCTGTTACCGCAGTAGGTTATACTCGAGGTGCCATGATTGTGAGGAACTCCTGGGGTGCCTGGGGAATGAAGGGCTACTTCTACACCGCCAGAGGTCACCACGGTTGCAAGATCTTCGACTACGGCTCCGTACCTGTCTGGAAGAATACTGGTCGCAGAGACAATGACCCTGACTACGTTGATGTTGATGATAATGACGGTGGTGATAACACTGACGGGTGTCCCAGTGGAACAGTCAAGTGCCGCGATGGAGTGTGCAGACACGCTCACATGTGTTAAACTCTCAGAAGATACCCCAGAACTTGCTTACTAGAAGACAATTCCGGATTTGAGATTTAAAATTTGTTTAATTTGACCAGCATTAAAATGTTGTGTATTATTTGTGCAGTACTCCTCAAGTTATCCGGCAGGGATAATTACATCACACACTAAGTCTGACTAATTAAAGACATAAAAACACGGTCTTGTTTACTAACATTCCCTTCCTAGTAGCGTTTAGTACACAAATTACGGCACAGCCCACATTTACCGCACATTAAACACAATAATCTGCTGACACTACCCAGACAGACAGTGCCACCACCTGATGTATAATTACCAGAACTATTAGTTGATGAGCTAAACCAGGATCAAGTTAACCTCTAGATCTGCCTCATAATATTATACTCAATTGTATTATCTAAAAATTTTGGAAACTTTTGGATTTTGGGTTTGACTGTCTTATTAAATTAAGGTTTTCAGGAGACGGCTTGATTCGGTCCTTATCAAGTCAAACTGTTACATATAATACAACTGATAAGAAAAGATAAGAGACAAGTACACTGCTTTTAATACTAGCTCACCATACTGAAACTGTGTCTGATACATCTTAAAACTTGAGAGATGAGGGACAAATTCAGAAGATAAGGGACAGATTCTCTTATTGAACTTTAATCTGTCTGCTCTCTTCAAAGCGTGGCCGTGATTAGAAACAGCTGAAGTTTATTACAAAACCCAAAACCTTCAAACAAAACGAACATTCGAGAACCAACAATCTAGCTCATACTGTACAGTGTATAGCTTAGGTAATGGTTGAAGCTTGCCAAATTGTTTTCTGTCAGTAGTTCCTGTCATCACAGCTTAATAGTCAAAATGTTGGGTGACATGTCATCATTATCACAAACCTGTACATATGATATATTATATTATGTGGTATAATATCCTCTTGGTATATATATACATATCACCGGAGACTCGCGGGCGGAACAAAATATTGCACGCGCACGCGCGTGCAATATTTCATATGTCCCCGAGGGCGCTAGCCCGAGGAGGACATATTTTCGTATAGCACGGAGGGCCCATCGGGCCCGAGGGCTATACGATTTTTCCGCCCGCGGGTCGAGGTGATGTGGATTATATCCACCAGCGGGCGTATTACAGTTAATATATAATTTTATAAATAAACAATGGAGCTTGTATAAAAGTCAACTCTAGAGAAGGTCACCACTAATTGTTGTAACCATGGTAACACGTCACGTGTTCAATGTAAGCCAATCATAAAGGGCTGTGTCGTATATAGGGGCTGGAGATGGACTGCATTCCTGGGCCGTGGGAATAATGAATGTAATGTCAGTGACGATGAATATCAATAATATAGGGGGATTATCTAGTGCTGATGTGTATTATGTAGTGTGTTATAATAACTTTGATATAAATCAAAGTATCATGTCATCTGCTCACGAGCTGCATGACCCTACCGGACACAAAAATAAAATGTATATATAGTCAGTGTAATAAGGAATTTCACATGGAGACGATACAGAAACTGAAAATATTTTAGAGAACTCCGGGCTATATTGCTACTGGTCAAATTAAATGTCACTTGTTAGCGGGCTATATCATGAGCGGGCTGTAGAGATATCGGGCCCTTTGACAGCGGGCTGGTGAGAGCCCGCTATGCGAAAAAGCGCACGCTGGTGGATATAACGGTCAGAGGGTACTGGATGAGTGTGTAGAGACTAAACTAATTATGTGAAGAATATTGAAATATGACACGGGGTTTTAAAAGAGGTCATCATGTTATTATCGTTATGATACTCTACCAAATACTCAAATATAAGACATATGGTTTCATGGTTTGTAATATCGGCGAACGTTTCGTATTTTTAGAATGTTTACTAAGATTTTAACTCCTCCAAATTAATGACTAAAAGCGGCTGTATTTTACACTGAGATAAGGAATCGGATAGTATTTGGTACTAGCATCCCTAACAAAAATATTATTACTTATCACTGTTTTGTACACCACTTTCTCACTCAGATATAGCATCATGGACCTTTATATCACTTATCAGTGAAAAAACAGCAATTTTAAAGTGTTGTACCTGAGAATGACTCGAAAACAGATAAAGTATAAATCTAAAGTGTTCTAGTGACGTGCATCATGCATGTGTAATGGTTTGATCTGGTGCCAAGACATGTGGTGATGACAATAATATCATTCAGTGTTGAACACTGATCATCTCAGATCTCAGGGGAATACTAAATCACTTCTGGTCGTTGTACATTCTAAATTAATTGCAATGCTAGACAGAAAGTTTATTGTACAATGTTGATTAAAAGGGGTCCCCTCCATCCTAACCTGCAGTTTTTCATTTCATATAACATACAGTAAGAATAAAGTGTAAATTCAGTTAGTACAGTGTTATAAAAGTGTTATAAAAGTGAGTAGAGTGTGATTACTCAGTGTGATTTCAGTTAGTACAGTGTTATAAAATTGTTATAAAAATTAGTAGAGTGTGATTACTCAGTGTGATTGCAGTGAGTACAGTGTCATAAAAGTGTTATAAAAGTGAGTAGAGTGTGATTACTCAGTGTGATTGAAGTGAGTACAGTGTTATAAAAGTGTTATAAAAGTGAGTAGAGTGTGATTACTCAGTGTGATTGAAGTGAGTACAGTGTTATAAAAGTGTTATAAAAGTGAGTAGAGTGTGATTACTCAGTGTGATTGAGATGCTCACCCCGGCTCTTAAAGCTGAGACTCTGACTTTTCATCCTCTTCAAGCTCCAATACTTGCTGTCCTTCTTGTTGTTGTCCTCTAGTGTAATCACCATGTTCCTGTAGTCATCATCAGTGTACTCTGTCGTCATCGTCATCGTCTTGTTGATGCTCTTCAAAGAGTCTCCTCTGGAGAGGTAGTTGGGTCGTGGTAGTGACATTGTTGGAGAGGTTGGAGAGGGTCGGTGTTGGAGAGGGTTGGTGTTGGAGAGGGTTGGTGTTGGAGAGGTTGGTGTTGGAGAGGTTGGAGATGGAGGTTTAGAGGTTCGGGTCGCCAAGGATGTGTTGTGAATGTTCCAAGATTGGAGGTCCGAATTTCGGAAGATTTCACTACATTGCTCTGGGCTGAATGTATTTTTCTTAACTTAGCAACGCTACATTTAATTTAATATAACGAACTATCTCACTAGCGATAGACTAATAGAATACTGGTAAGTGCTGAAGCGAAACTTGTAAAAATGATAACGTTTCTTCCATGAATCAGTTAAACAATATGAGCTGAACGTTAAGCGGGCACAAACTAAACTCGTGACTGAAGGTGATAAGTCTGAGAGTATCAACACCAAACTAAAGGGCACTTCATGGCACACATCAGATACGGCTTCAAGGTACAATGTTCATTATCGATGACGTCATCCGCCAACTAAAGTATGAATGTATGAGGGCACTGCTACAACTTTTAAACAAGTCTTACAAAGTCGATGAAATGAAGCCGCTCAAATCCGTTAGGGCAAGGTTAAAGTAAAGATTTGTGTTATGTCAAGGTTAGAGCAAGGTTAAAATTAAGATTTGTACTCTGCCCAAACTAGGCTTACTGGCTAACGTAAGTAAATACTCTGTGCTATACCAAACGACACTAACAACAGGCTAGAGTAAAGATTCGGTCACTGCACAGAATCTAAGGGTATGCACTACATACGGTAGTAGTAGGTAAGGAGACGTTATGGGTGGATTACAGGAGGCATTTACCCGACCAACCCCTACTAATTACTGAGAAGTTAATGAGGATAATACACTCGCCAACCGGGGGATTAACAATTAACAATTAACATATTAGCAGAACAAAATCAAATTAAAACGTCTGCGCAAGCTAGTGTACATTAATCTTGTTGACGCTAAATGTAGCGGGACAAGCAGGAGAGCAGCATATAAAGACAAATGAAGTAGTGAGGACATGCTCAATGAGCATTGCTCATATATAGTACATAGTTAACGGTAAAGTGGCCGTATACGTGTTATAACAGCTAGTACACACAGTGACGATGCTGCTGCTGCCTCTCTGCAGGCTCTTTGTACAGGTCGCTATTATTGGGTCTTTGTAGTTGGGTGGTATGCGGATATGAGGGAGTATTACTGGCATTATTATGTGAGGTATTACTGGCAGTACAGTATGCAGGTATATAAAGATATAATTAACCAGTTAGTTAGTTAGAATGTCATGTTGCAATATTTAGATTGGTAGAGGAATTGTACAGATTGCAGGTATGTTTACAACTTTGTGCTTTATGTTATAAAAATGGCCGAGGAAAATATCAGGAAGTGATGATAAATCTTGGAGGTATAAAAGTAATGTCCTGGAAAGAGGGCGTGGCATTCTTAATCAAAAATTCATCAGTAATTCATCAGTCAGTATCCAAAAGTTATCAAACACAAATAAGCTGACTTGTTTCCCAGATCCAAGAGAGCAATTGTCACATGAATCTACCACTACAAGGCTTAGTAAGATGGTATTATCTTCTAAACTAAGCACTAAATAACTGATGAACGACTTGTTGAACGACTAAATCGTCTCATGATGTATTATTGGCAGTATACAGGTATATAAGTAACTATTTAGTTAGTTATATTAATATATAGAGTGGTAGAGGATTTATGTGTATTAACGGGTGATGACTAAAAAATGGGAGTTTTTCAAGGGTCTTTTTAGTGTCGATAAAACTATTTTTGGTTCAAACCAATGAAACAGCGTTGTAAAGCGGGCAATTTTGAACAAGTATGGTCAATGACAAGCGCCCATGAGCCCATTTTGATTGGTTCAGGAGGGCTTCTTTCTTCAAGCTCAAAAATTCGTCTGTACAGTTGGGCCTAAAATCGTGTTGGCGCAGTCTCTTCTTTTGTGCCCTAGGGCCCATGTATGCTTGTTAGCCATATTCTGGGCATGTACATGTGTTGCCAGGATACTAAAGAAGTCCTCTATGGGTTGAGATTGTCAAAATTTACTTTGGTCGATCACTTTTGGGACGAAATTAACCCTATGGCAAATAAAGATGTGGTTTTCATAGAAAAATACGATCTAGCCCCATCCTAACGAACCACCTTCCACCCTTTGGGGATATTTTCTTGTAGGAACAACACCAGGCAAGGCTCCAAGCACTTTGATTTTTACGTGGAACCATTATAGACCATGCTAAAGCCGATAGTTGACCTAGCCTCGATCTTTCACACGGTAAAATTTTACCCCTCAGGTGGTTTTGAGCTCAAATATCTTCTTACTGGTTTTAGCTACGCTGATGGGTGTTGAACCCTCGTCTTAAGCATAAAATTCAGCATACTCTCTGCTAAATATTTTTTGGTATGGAAGCTTTAACTACCTGTGAGGCGACTTCTGTGAACAGTGCTTTACTGTAAAACTTTTATAGGACCCCTCCCCTAGTTCGAGACCATTATCGGGGACAAAGATCAACCAATTTGATCAAATGGGGGCGGAAACTGTTCGAGTATCGTTCAGAGTAACTGGTGGTTGTGGTAAAATATCAAAATTTTGTTCAGGTGGAATCTGAGGGCTAAAAAACATGTAGTCCCATTTTTTATTCATCACCCGTTATGCACTATGCAGGCAGGTTTACGATTAAGCACTTAATAACTGATGAATGACTTTAAATCATTACAGACTACAAAGTTATCGGTTCAACAGGACATGAAAACATACAGACAACAAACGATTTCATTAAACCACAATCCTTTGTCCTTTCAGTTTCGTGTTAGCCAAGCAAAATATTATTAAGCGTGAAATTGTAAAGTGTGCGCTCAAACGGCAATTAATTCCAACTGAAAGTAACGAATAAAATGCAGCGTTTAGCAAATGTAGCAATTACACCTGACAGTGATTTTTATTGAATCCTTAATTAGTTTGAAAAGAAGCAGCATAAATGTATAAGCCAGCAGTGAATGTAGACGAGTTGCGAGGTAGGTGATGGGAAGGGAAAACAAGCAGCTAAAATGGGGTAATCTAATCAGCTTGCAGGCTGCAGAAATTAGACAATCGGCAATTATTATATCAAACCGTATGATTGCAATTACTAACTAAACCAATGGCAGACTTTGAGAGGGTAAATAAAGAACAATCGGTTATTCAGGTAAATCAGAAAGCTAGGACGGGCAAAGTGCATATATTTTAACATAGTCGAATAAAGGAACCCTTAGATGTAATATCCAGACAGCACAGACGTTGGTAAAGTTAACTAATACACTAACAAATATATTGACATAATAGCCAACAATAAATCCAGAGCAGTACAAGCTAACCCAGCACGGTACTTAACAGGAACCGAGACCGGTCAAAAAACCAAGATGTGACGGTGCAGAGGTTTCGCTTTCAGTCGGCCTGTCAACTACAGCGTGCTCTATATAACCTGGGCAGTCAACTACAGCATGCTCTATATAACCTGGGCAGTCAACTCGTTACTTCGCACTCACTTCAGACAATCCGTCAGCACGTTCCAACATTCAGCCAGGTCACGTGCCAGGTCACGTGGTAGGTCACGTGGTAGAGTGGGGCGTGTGGTTGGGTGCCGTTCTGTCACGTGGTGTTGAAAATACTTGTGATTGGTTGAGGATTTTTCGGCTCGGCTCGTGGATCTTGCGGGTTTGTGGATCCAGTTTTAACTTTTAGAGAAGTTAGTGGTTTCCTTTATATGTAAATTGTAGAGCTTGTACAGTTAATAATTGGGTCGTGATTCTCGTGTGTTACATTGATCAGCTGTTTACAGTGAACACACACATTTCAAAGAGGCATAAAGGGTGTAAAATGAACAATGTTTAATGTTATCTGAATGTACTGTTAGGTATGTAATGTAAACACTTCAAAACTCATCTCCCAGTTTAAATTACTCACGACGATTTCTAAAAGATTGGGCATTAGTTCGGCGTCTCTGGAGACTGACGCCTTTCTTCAACATTTCCATCAACCGCAAATACAAATAAAAATAGATCCAGGTACAACGCAATCAGTGGTACAACAAAAACTATTGATAGAGGATGAAGAATGATATAGGTTTTACGGGTAGGTCCTGTGATTTGTCTACTCAACAGTCGGATTCATACAATACAAGTGATATTATCAGGTTTTCGTAAGCTTATCGTACCATTGAACGGCCGTGTAACCAGCATTATAACGCCTGTGTGTGTGTATGGCACGTGAGGTTGTCATTGGATCATGCTACATCGGAGAAAGGAAGATAATTTCTCCCTGGAATACGTCATAATATTTCAGTAGTCTATACTAAATCATCAGTACTATAAGTTAAACTTAACGAAATCTCCCTGGCAATCTTCTGCTAATCAGATACAATTCAGCAACACGTTTCTTAATGATACCTCTCAGCTAGACAAGACTTTGAACTTTTGTAACTTTCGTTGCTATCAGTATTGGTTGATGCGGTTAGTACTGATTAGAGAATGCTTAGAATTTTCAATTTTGCATACAACTATAAAACCCCATAAGGTTTGAACTCTTCGTGGTCAGTGGTGCTATATGAAATGAACATAAATTAGGAATTTATACTGATTTGATTTGAATTCCTGAACATATCTCTGTTTTGACCAGTTGGTTTCTATTTGGTTATAAGTTAATGTGTATCTATGTACATGTTTAATTATCACTTATTCCATATTAATGTATATGATAATATATCGATGGTATTTTTCTTTGTAAACTGAGCAGCAGCATCTAAGTAAGTATAGCAAGGGTTTATATCAAGCCAATCCACTGCCCAGACATATACGTTAATTATTATTGATTTATTATATGAAAGAGAAGGCAGCTTGAATTACTTACTTGTAATTAGCAGTAGAGATATCCATGCTTTGAATTTCGTTCATACATATCTATTCAAAGAAATAAATTAGTAAACTTTAGATAATGTATTTAGCAGCAAAGAAATGATGTAACTGTAAAAGAGGATTTTCCTCTTTGAGCAGAGAGTGCATATATATATAATCTAAAGTCTTTCGAATTTTTATCAATTCCATTACATGACAGAAAGGCTTTTTATGTGATTCCCCCAGCCCTCATATATGATTTTTGATTCGAAACTTTTACAAAATAGCAATTAATATACAAATGTACAGCAAATCGA